TTGGGAGCGCCCTGGGGCGGGGGGCCGGGGCGGTGTCTTACCCCGCAGGAGGAGCGGCCTTAGCACGCTGCGTCCTTTCCAGGCAGCTGTAACTGCAAAGTATGCGTTTCCAGTCAGCACGTGGTCGAAAACCATCCATGCGTGCCTGATGATGTGAGGGGAAAATAAGGAAGGGTGGTTTCTACCAAAAGATAATACGCCTAAGGCGCTGGTATATACAGCTATTTAATTGCACCCACCACAGGTTGGTCCCGGCGCTGGGCCTCTGCGCTTGTGCGGTGCCTTACCGTAGAGAAGGGCAGTCGTGAGATGGAAGGCGCCAGCTGCAAAGTTTGTCTTGCAGTGTTGTCATCCATGGATCCTGCCATGCACGTTTGGTGCTGTCGCTAATTACTTCAGCAAACGGTACTGCTTATCAAAAACTTCTAAGGAACAATCATGTAAGATGCGCCACCTTCCTGATTTTACTGTGACAGGAACTCTTTCAGCATGCCTTATTGGAAGGTTGCATTGTTTCTTGTACCTGAAACAACATTGTTCCAGTACCTAGAAATTCCCAGTTGGAATAGTGTGACAGAGCTGTCATTAGCCACACAGGTTAAGAAAGAAACAAGTAATTCTGGACTGGTCTAAAGTGATATACCTGTTGCATAGATGAGTTGCACCACAGCCTTCACGCTTACTTAAAGCCAAAATAATTTGTTACTTCTTTAAATACTAAGGAGCCTGTTAATGGATGGTTTGGAGGAACGTGGTGAAACTGAGAAGAGTGCATGAGAGTCTTTGCTGCATGGAAAGGATGCCAAGAACAGAGGAAGGTCATGAAGTTGTCCGCAGCTTTGGCAAAGGAAAGTATTTAACTGGGGAGACGAACGTGGCTGCACAGCCCTATGTTACAGGAATATAGTCTGCTTCATTTAGCCCCTATATCCTCCCCAATTATATCTACACTGGGACTATATTTCAGCGCTGAATTCCTTCCTTATCTCTCACTTACCTCTGCTTCTAATTACAGTTGTTCTTTTTTATGGAAGTTTTGTCAAGCTGGAACCCCATCTTTCTGTACTTATTGACACCTTTAGCTTCCTTTTTCAGCTACATCCTTTGCTGTCTTCATGCATCACATGACACTTCCCAGCTCCAGAGGAAGCTCTTGATTGAGGGTTGTTGCTCTCGCTTCCTGTTACAACCTCACCGAAACCTACTAGTTGTCCCATGAGGGTTTCTCATTCCAGTTTCACAAACCACACCTGCCTCTTTATTTTCTTTGTTGTGATCTTCCTTTGAGGGCATGTTCTGTCTGTGTTATGAACATAACCTTTCCCCTTTACGCACTTGCAGCATCACCTCAAACTTGAAAACACCTCATCACTTACCTGATGTAGCCGCATCAGGCTAGAATGGAAGTGGTAGGGCTCTACTCCCTATGGCATGGTGTTGGAATAAGCAGGTGAGAGCAATCTGGGCCAAGAGTAGAGGGATTAAATCCTACTCTTCCAAAAAACTGTCTGGGATTTCTAATGTTTGTAAAAAGAAAAGGAGAAAAGGCTACTTTCAAAAGCCTTGTGTGCAAGATCAAACACACACAATTGTATGGAACTCCATGGCTGGATTTTGTTTTAAAACCATATGAAAATACCATCACAGAATTCCCCACTGCTAGTGGGGAGTGTTGCTTGGAAGGGGCTAGAGACTGCTGTGCTTCTTGGAATGGTCCACTAGGGCTGTTCAGTTAGATATATGTTACGAATTTCCCTCACTGCCTCTCTTTCATCTCTCCATGACAGATTCTGTTTTGCAGTTCTTTTGTAGTCATTTAAAAAAAAAAAAAAAAAAGGCTATAGTAACCTAAAAGCATGAAATCTGGATAAATTCAAGCCCAGGGAATAGCTAAATTGAAAATACCAGAGCAGAAATTTTTGAACTGAGAGAGGATGGTATGTTTTCTGTTTCATTTCCCAACTTCGATATTAAGAAGTCATATACTTGTAAAGCAACTTTGCTCAATCTAAATCCTCTTAAGAACAAACAGAGCTATTTATTTTTATAGCTTGGAATTAATCTGCCCTTTATATACTAGGGCACAGGGCACATGAGCATGTCAGGCTTTACAAGAGGTACTTATTTTCTCTGCTAGAGAGACTTCAGTGAATTCAATCTCAAAGTGAAGGCTGTATAAAGGACTCAAGCAGTATAAACCAAGCAGGCATTAAGCTGAATTCTTTAAGTGAAGAAGTGCTAAACTCCAAGACGCGTTGAAAGACCACCAACGTTACATGAAAAGTGGAGATGGTATACAAGAACCCTAGAAAACAGAAGTTGGTAAAAACACCCTATGTGCACATCGGAATAAAGGGAAATAATAACTAACTTGCTGCTGAAGTCATCAGGTAGTCTCTGTTTTCAGACTGTGGTCCTGAGAGCTTAAGAGACTGATTTTCAGAGCTCGTGTGCACAACTTCAGCTGCAGTCAATAAAAGCTGTGGATATATAGCTTTTCTGAAAGCAGGTCCTAAACGGTCCAAGAAGCCTGAGGCAAAGACACTAATTAAACTCCTTAGTTCCAGGCTAGTCTTTCACCACAAAACCACCCTTCCTTCCTTTCTTAAGGCCAGAAGCCTTAGAATCATATATGTTCTTATATTTTCATCATATCTACTCACATTGCACTGTAGTACTTGAACAGTACTTGCTCTAACATAGTCTTAGAATGAAAGGGTAGCTTTGTGGCTTAATGATAAATCTGAGATTTTATACTATTTTTAGGCCTGACTCACATTATTAAATGTAGAAAAGTCCTCTGGGCTTCCTATTCAACCCAGAAAAATCACCCTAAAAAAACTTATGCTCCAACAGGAGTGTCATGAGACTAACATAAGTAATGTTTGAAGGCAATCTGAAAAAAATTTTGGAGAAAAGGTGTTGAGCATTATTTTTATGCAGTATTTTACATTCAGTTCTATCCTTGCTTGTTAGCTCACAGAGCTTGAGCTCTGTGGTGTTGAACATTGTCTGTCGCTGTGTTTTACACAATAACTATCTCAAAACAGTGCTGCAGAGATAGAGAAAGGTTCCAGGGCTGTAATTTCATAAGATTGGGCTTCAACAGCACGTTAGAGTTAGAGGCTTAGAGTAGGCTTAGAGTTTGTCTTTGCTCCTCCCTCTGCTGCACCCATTCATTTTCAGGGTACAGCTGCCTTTTGGACTGCAGTAACCAAAGTACTGAAAGAATCCAGTCAAAATAACTGCCCTCTTCTTTTGGGTGATTGTTTCTTAACTTGGCCTCAGTTAAGCTATAACATTTACAGTATGGTAAATGGCTGCACAAATGGCTGCACAGTTAGCTCACCGGGTATGGAGATGAACGGTGAGGCCTGGGAGCCCCTTGGCTGTCACTGCCTCCAAAACTCCCAAGCTGAGGAACAGTGGTCTGAAGCTGTAATTATCTTTGCATCAAAGACTCTCTTATTGGTAGCCACTACCACCTTTCAGCGCCACACCTGAACAGGAATGATCCATTCCTGAAATGCAGCTAAATAGAAGGGATAAAAGTACCTTATATTATTTTTTAAATGAAGAAATAATACAAACCCACTTGATATACTCATAAAGGATCTGTACAGATCCTTATGTCTAAAAACATCCCATAAAAAAACTGTGAAGGCAATTTGAAAGTTTTAAAATGTAGGTTCTGTCAGAACAGAGACAATAAACTGATTCTACATCTCCTCCCCAAAAGTTAACTTCTTAAGTGTAATATGTTGTTTTGCTATCAGCCAGGCTACTCGGGAACAATTAAAGAAAAGACAGGGAGCGTGCTTTGGTTGTTAATTTCTGAACTATTTCATGGATGAATATTGCTTTTAAGCAGCTCAGATGAGAATCAAATAAAAGCAAGATGTTCATCTCCTGAATGTTGAGGAGTCGGAATGATTTCCTTAAAGGGTTTCTCTCTACCTCTGTGCTGGTTTCTGCTTGCCATTAAAACAGCTAGAAGGAGCTCATTAGAAGAGCAATACAAGGATTAAGAGAAGGAAGATGGCGGGAATGCATACAATCTGAGCCAGATCAAGTAGAGTTCTAGTCTGTAGGCTTTAAATGTTGTTGATGCAAGTCATTCTGAACTTTATGGCTGAATTTGGGTATATTACTAGAAGAAGGAATAAACAAGTCAGATGCAAAGCAGAAGCAGTATCACAGAGCAGACTCTATCTGCAATTACTAGGAGCTTATAGATCATCACAGCTATCAGTAAAGGGCCCCTCAGGAACTCAAGCTGCTGCAGCTTTACCAAACTTTCACTCCAGTGATAATTACTTGTAACTACTTTGGAAATGTATTTTAAATACCATCCTTGGATTTGGGCATGTATTCGATCGTGTTTGCCTTCTGGTACAAGTTGGAAATGAAAGCTGCAGGGTATCAGAAGTCACTTTTGGACTTGATGCTGCATTGCTAAATTCCCAGCTAGAAAACATGATGTGTCTATGACATCTGTAGGATAAGGAATTCCATTCATTGATTATGTGGTTTTGCACGTTGCCTACACATTCAGAGAACCTTCTGAATTTACTCCTTAGTGCCTAAAACTCAAATCTTATTTAGATGTACTATTAATTATTCTTTTTGTTAAAATCACTAATGCATGTTTCAAATTTTATTGTGAAGGAATCTTATCAGAGACAATGCATTAAAATTACCCAGACAACAGGAGGTGATAGTATATAAAATGCCATTGCACATTGATGGCATGGGTGCTTTTTGCCAGATTGAACTATGCCACTTATCTAACAAAAGACTAGGAAAACTTCCACTACTGCAGTTTTACATAGGAGGTAAAATAATGTGAGAACAGATGAGGTTTGCTGAGGCAGGTGGTTCTGCACCAGAATTATATATTAATTTGCCAGTCTAAATTGCCAATGTAACTGTACTAAGACCTAAGAAGCTATCAAGCACATTTTAAAATCATATTTTATAAACCACAACATGCTTCTGTTTTATAACAGAAGTATTTTCTAATTAAAGTATGCAAAGAATAATGACACACCAAGTGGGAC